ATAATGAATAAAAACAGTATAACAAGAGTATAACAGAATGCAGAGAATTCCGTTAAATCAGAACGAGAAATTCAATATATGGCCATATGGTTATTAACATCTGTATTAACGAGCCTAATAATTAAAAGGAGGCAGTAAGGAACTACATTGTCCTTTTGTTTATGGTCTCCTAGCTCAGTATCACATTACTTTTTATGCTAGTACCTTCCATAAAATAAAATGAACCAGTGTTTTTTCTTCAAACACCCAATCCTGTGCAGGAAAAGTTCTATTTCTTTTCAATTTTCCCTGCACAATTAGACATTTGAATGTGTTACTGTGTCAGGAAGTGCAAAGAATCTCCAGTGGAAGTGCAAAGAATAAAACACTGACGAATGTGAAAATCTACTCAACTAGAAAAAAATTAGTTTTTATTTCTGCTGTGTCACAGTTGGATAAATTTCCCTTTCCTTACTGTCTTTGTGACAACATTTTCACCGAGTCAGTAAGTAAGGAGGAATTTCCCCAACCAAGACGCAGACAACAGTAAAATCCAACAGAATTTTAACCTGTCCCTTGTGGCTGAAGATCCATTTTAAAGCTGAACTCTTGGCAGATGTATAACATAATAATACAGTCATGTATTCATTAAATGTTTCTATTGCCTCAACAGGAGAGCAGGTCAGCTGATTTTGGAACGCTTCCTAAAAACACCATGCTTTGGATGTTCTTCTGCACTCAACACAGTGTGAACATAACTCTGGAGAATTTCCTAACGACAGTTGCTCTCATCTACAGTTAATGCATCCTCTTTACAGGTACCCGTAGGCATATATGTCTGAATACCTTCAGCATTGTACACCTCCTTAGCAAATAAAGCTTAAAATGTGCTTAGTTTATGTAGTAACATTAAATAATTTGACATCAAAGGAGTAAGAAACAAAGTAGCACACCTGGTATGCTTACTTTTAACTATCCTGGTGGTATCTAGATGAATGTCAGTCCTACCAAGTAGCAGTCCATGTAGCATTAACTTTTGGCCCTTGTCCAACGTCTCATGGCCAGGTGCATAGACTGCTACAATGTCTTCCAGATTGGAAAGAGATGAGATGTAATCCTGCATTCTTCTGGTTTAGGAATGTGTGTTTTTTGGGATTTCCCCTCACTTTCTGTCTTGATGAAGCATTGGTGTTAATTTACTAAAAGTAAACAGAAATCCCAAATCCAATTCCATGATGATCATGTCAGTGATGGGGCTGAGTCATGCTGTTTGCTTCTATAGACACAGACAAGGTGGTTCAGGATTGAGGCTGAATGAGTGCCCCCATAGAAAGCTGAAGAGGAGGAGCCAGGAGCTCCTGCAAGCGACCCCAAAAAAAAGGAGGATCGGGGCTGCTCTGTGCAAAACCCTTGCACAGAGCAGGTAAGTATGACGTTTAATATTTTATTAAAAAAAAAAAAAACTAAAGCTTTACAATCAGTTTCAGCTCTGAAAATTAAATACAAAAGCTGATTGCTTTCCATGCACAGCTGCTCAAGATTTTGTCTGCTCAGTTTTGATCAATTCCCCTTATTGTGCTGATTGGAGAAGGTTAATTCAATAAAACATTTGTGCACTCCCCCTTTTTTTCTTCATTTTAAGGTTATTTCAAATGATTTATGTGTCAGGGGCTGAAGGTGGCATGTTCCACGCAGGCAGAGCCCTTGTGATTGTGTACTGCATGTTCTATTTCTCTGGAAGGGAAATGAGTTGACAAAGTTCTCCAATATACTGGAAGAGAAACTATGCTATTGCCCTTCTAGTAAAGTTCACATTCGCTAACAATAACCTTTGTCCTGAAATCTCCCATTGTCAACTGTGCACTTTATTTTCACATGACTGAGAAGTATGAGATGAATTAGCACATGAGATGAATTAGCAAAGACAGGTAACATGTGACTGTCTAGTTACTGTGCAACTACTAGCACCAGTATGCCAAAATAATTCTCAAGTCCCAGTCTGCCATACTGATACCCATCTTAAAGGATAGCTGAATTCAATCTGATTTGTTGTGATCTTTTTCTATGTGTAATGAAGAGAGATGAAGTGAGGTGAAGGAGACCTGTGCAGTCAAAGAAGATTTATGCTGGCCATAGATGGCTCGAAAACCGGCCATTTTTTCGTCTGATCAACAAAAGATCGGTTGTTCATTAAACCGACGTAACCACCAATTATTACGAAAATCGGCCGAACAAGTCAAAAAGTTCACCCCATATATAACAGGCAAAACTACTGTTCCTTCCAGGTCACGCCTCATGCGCATATTTTTTTCGTAAAAACGTTCATACGTTTTGACCATCATTGACGTGAAAATCTGTCGTTTTCCATGAATTTTCCAACATGACCGATAAGCCAAAAGTGGAAAAAAAACAGGAAAAAACGGCCGACGAATTAACCCACTAACAGTGCAAAAATCGGCCGATTAATCTTTCGGATGAAAAATCAGCCGATTTTTGAACCGTCTATGGCCGGCATTTCTCTCTGCTTTCATGTTTCAGCACTGAGACAATCACTTAGCATCTCTGCTGTCACAAAAAGCAAGCTGTGTGTGCCAAATAATTTCTCTTCACCCTTGGAGGTGATCAGATACACAGTATAAAGAATTGGGCGAACGATCGTCCAACTTTTCATGAAGATGCATATCAAGATGTAACCGAGAATGGTATTAACTTCTGGCTCCTCCTTTTGTGTTTCTCCATAGCAAGCTGTTTGCTACGGGGGCAAACGCTGTGTGCTTGCTTTTGACCTCTGCGTCTACAAAGCCGCCCTCCAATGAAACACATAATAGGACTTAGGCCCCCCCACTTCCTCTTCACCACATTTGATTGTCAGAAGCAAGAGCCAATGGCTTCTGCTGCTGTTCGAGTCCCTGTGTGAAGAGGAAGAGAGGGTAGAAGAGATGCAGCCATGCACAGTGCTGATCTCTTCTTTCCTCTCTTCCCCACAGGGGAGGGGGGGGAGCACAGGGAAGCAATGCATTAAGGTAAAAAACAGTTTTAGGTTTAGTATCACTTTAACTTCTTTATCCCGACAGAGGTGACTGCGCTGCGCTAGAAAAAAAGTACGGCCAGGCGTACATTTTGTTAGCGCACACCACCTGGGCACTGGCACAATGCAGTGCTGTGGACCATCCACACTGGAGACAATGCATTTTGCCTTGTCTTGTGATGTGGTGCAGTGCTGGAATAGCCACCCAATGCATTTCCAGTGGCTTCCAAAGGAAAGGAAAAGTGCATAAAGGCAGAAGGAGAGTAAACTTTGCTTGCCCTATTATTCTGCCTAATGGTAAATCGGTGCTTGGCTGCATTGGTGGATGAAGTGATGGAGGAGCATAGGGAAGGTAAGCATAAACCCTTTGAGCTAGCTATCAAGTGAACGTGTTACTTTGCCTAGTTTGATGTAGACGTTCACTTTCAAGCTATACTCTGGGCGCAAACATTTTAATTGAAATATATTCCTTAATAGCCACAAAGAGTAAAAATCCACTTTGTGCACCCAATACCTTTACAAACCCAGATATGATATGTGTAAAAGTAGCAGCAATAACATCACTGTGCTGTACATAGCCTGTGCAGCAAACAGAGCTGTGGGAAGATCCCAGCAGGCCACACCCACTACAGGCTGCCTGCAGAAAACTACAGGAGGGGGGGGGCGGAGACAAGACCAGGCCCCCTGCACAAGGGAAGAGAGCAGCATTGAGCAGTCTTTATTACAGGAGGCTTCTGCACAAATGCAAAGTTTCACACTGGATTACTACATAGATCTGGAAGAAATACAAAAAGCACATGTAGCACTACCCCCTTGCAAAGAGTTGTAAAGATTTTGCATCCCCCTATAGTCCTGCACAGCCAAGCAACAAGCATTTCCTTCACTCAGACTTGCAATAGGAGAGATTAACCTGTCCTTGAGCTTTGTTTTGAAGTTTTATTAGGGGGTTTGGAACTTGAATGGGGTAGGGGGTGTATGGGATGCCCAAGGGCAACTAAGAACAAAACTCCTTAGCAACAATGTACAAGTCTTTACAGCAAAGTTTCTCTTCTGGAGAACTAGCCAGCATCTCCTGAAGTACTACCCCAGACCCCTAATGACTCCTCTCCTCATCTAGCTGTACTGGGTGAATCCCTGGGCAGGGGATCCAGTGTCTACCACTGCAGAGTAAAACAGTACTGGGTAAGATAGAAAATACAGTTTCCCACTAGAGTGCTCCTTACCCCTTACTAGCCCAGGGGGTGCAGGTTTACTCACTTAGTCCCTCTCCTGTGTTGCCGGTGGGTTGGTGGCTGCTACCAGGCCTTCTACTGGGCTGCTCCTTCCCTGCCACACAAGTGGTCCTCTCAGGGGAATGGTGAAGTTCCAGAGTTACCACCTTCCAAGGTCCTCCGCTTGCAGGTGAGCCCCTCTCCATCTGGGCCCCCTGACATGCTCCTGTCTCCAGCCTCACATTCTTTTCTTTCCTTCTCTAAGTCTCCCTCAACTCTCTCCTGCTACTGAGCAAGCTCCAAACACTTTTAAGGGTTGTCCTGGCCCCTTGCCAAGCCTCCTGTTAGGGATTTGCCAGGCTCCCTCAAACATGCAGATCAGCAACTCCTCAGTTCCACTCACTTCTTCTAAACCTTTTTTCCAAAGATCTAGAGCAGGGGGAAATTCCTGAGGACTTGTCTGCAGAGCCTCTCAGCTCTGACCGAATTTTGACCCCTGCTAGCTATTACTCCCAGGCTGCTTCTCAGCCCTAGCTAAAAATTGAAGTGTAGCTCCCCCTAGCTACCTAGGAGGGTGCTACACACACAGAGATTCAAGTATGAATACACTTGGTACTTGTATTTAGACAATATTTACTTATCCTGGAGTTCAGCTTTAACCACATCCCGTCTGCCCTATAGCAGATATACTGCCACAGGGTGACAGGGGTGCGCAAAATCACGCATATATATGTGTTTTTGTGTTTCCGGGTAGGGGGTCCACACGAGCCGCACACGCGCAATACCCGTGCCAAGATTTGCAGCCGCGGCTGTCAATCACCAGGTCCCGGCCGGTGATTACCCGCCAGCACCCGGTAATTACAGAGGATCTCCAATGGGGAGGAGGGCTGCTTTGTTTATTAACAGTTTTCCTCCCTGTTGGCTCGGCCACACTGCTCTGGATGGCTGTGCACAGCACAGCCATCCAGAGCAGTGTGCTTACAGCAAAGCACCAACATACCGCCCCTTAGTAAAACACTCCCAGCACACAGTTAACCCTTTCATCACCCCTCATGTTAACCCCTTCCTTCCCTGTGTCATTAGTACAGTATCAGTGCTTTTTTTTTAGCACTGATCACTGTATTAGTGTCACTGGGGATGTCAGTGACACCAAGTCAGTTCCCCCCAGTGTCAGAATGCCCACTGCAGTCCTGCTATAAGTCACTGATCGCCGCCATTACTAGTAAAAAAAAAAAAATTCCAGTATATATACCGCGATTTGTAAACGCTATAACTTTCACATAAACCAATTCATTTACATGTATTGGGATTTTTGTTTTTAGCAAAGACATACATTTTTGCTGAAATTTATGATGAAATTTGATTTTTAAAATTTTTTTACTGGACATGTTTAATAGCAAAAGTCAAAAATATTGTTTTTTTTTCTCAAAATTGTCGGCTTTTTTTTATAGCGCAAAAAATAAAAAATGCAGAGGTGATCAAATACCACCAAAAGAAATCTCAATTCATGGGGAAAAAAAGGACATAAATATTAATTTGGGTGCAATTGTCAGTTAAAGTAACGCACCGCCATAACACAAAAAATGGCCTGGTCAGGAGGGAGGGTAAATCCTCAGGGCAAGTGGTGAAAGAAGAAGTATCATTTCCAGGGGCGGACTGACAACTCATGGGGCCCCCGGGCAATAGGGGATCATGGGGCCCCTGTGTCCTTGCCCGAACTCAAAAAAGCTTATGAAAAAGGTACCAGAGGCATCTCATGGGGCCCCCCTACTGACCCCGGGCCCTCGGGCAGTGCCTGAGTTTCCAAATGGTCAATCCGCCCCTGATCATTCATCGTTTCCAATGGGGCAATGTAAATGTAGTACTTATTCTTCTAGGTGTCCTGAAACACCAGCTACGATGTAAGACAGGGCACCACCCTGACACTGCAACTAAAAGATGACTGTTTTGCTAGCAAATGAATTTCTGTGTTGCAGTACTTGCCCAAGGCAAGCGCCATTACAAAGCATGCAGAGAGAGGTGAAGCTGACACTTCCTAACTGTGGTAGACGGTTGTGCGCTAAGGAAGGAGGTGCTCTATCCAGCATCACAGCTAGTGTTACCGGGCATCTGTGTAGATGGGACAAGGTCCTACATATACTCTGTCCTGTTGGAAACTGAATACTGCAAAAACAAAAAAAAAAGCAATCCTTTTAAATCTAATTCTTTTGCCGCCATGTAATTTATTATTGGTTTTACACAGTAAATTGTAATTTCTGAAGAACAGCCTGTCGCAATGATGTAGCCTTTGAACTTTGTTCTAGTGTAGCATCATTCCCGTCATTCCCATTATGTCCTAACTATTAAAGCATGTTTATTGTTTTGGGGAAAAAATATTGTGTGCTTGATTTGACTGGACATTTAGTCGCAGCGGATATCTGTAAATGCGTGCTAACGCTAGCTTGTTTACTTCATAACCTAGCTAGCCTGAGAGTTACGGAACAGTGTTTTGAAAGGTAAGCTGCTCCGCAATCAATAGTGTGCATAGCACAAAACAAAACGCCATTGCATAAAAACACATGCAAAAGCAGTATCAGCACGCTCTGTTCAGTAGGCAAAAACACCCATCGCTTTTACTTTTGTTTGTCATTTAACTAGGTCATACTGAAGAGAACCATACTATACTGAACAAAATAATGGCCTTGAGGGAGCCAGCCACAATTACATGTTATGTTTTAGTGAATAACAGTCCTTGCCTTTATTGCTGAGTGTTGCTGTTTTAGTAATTAACTGCAATTCTTGGTGAGACTTAAGAACATACAATCTGTCCTGTACAAGATCTATCTACAGTAGGCTTTGAAGAAGAAACAAAGAGAGGCTGCTATGTCATGGTAGTAGTGTGTGATGTGTCTATTTATGATATTATACTACCTTACCCATACTCTACCAAGGCAATTCATCTCCTAACATATATACGTGGTCCATATATACGTGATCTTTCTATTTGATATTATTGGCTCTGGTCACTATATCCGTTACATATGGGCCTGGATGGACTGTAATTATAGCTCTTACTTAAGATGCTTACTTGGATATATACCCGATTCAGTCTGCAATTGTCTGCCCTTATGCCATAATTCTGATGGATACTTACCTTGCATCTCAATCATCTGGGGTTTTCACTTCATATTGACCATATCAATAATTATCATGACTCACGGTCTTCAACTGTGCACCAACGTATAGAAACTGTCTATTACTATGAACACCCCAGACCTCCTACTGCTCTTTACCATCCTAGGGAATTACCCATATTGCTCATAATTTGCTCCTATTAGGAACAGTAGCATCTATTATATCTCACCCCTGTCCACATTGACACTGTACATTTTTTTGCGCTTTGCGATCCGGATTGCTTTTTGGTTTTAATAGTATTTTTAGTTGGTTGTGTATGATATTCACTGTTTGTAGATATCATTTTCCCCCCATTTTTAATTGGGAAATCAATAAATTATGTTTTTACATATGAGCTATTCTGCTTGTGTGTATAATTACCTACTTTGGTAGCTTGCTTCTTTGAGCTGCTGTGCTAGGTTCTTTGAAAGGTAAACGTTGTGTTTGCGTCAGTCATTGGTTTTAGCTGATAAGATCTGCAGCTAATTTGATGGTATTTACTATACTATTCTTAATCCTATACTATTGCTTAATAAATAAAAATAAGTGAGAATTCAGTCCAGAAAGTGTCCAGACCGTCCAGGACTACTGTTAAGATCTGTACAACATCCTGACTGTGGGCTGCATATAATTAAGAGCAATACCCGATACCGTTTGTTAGTTTACCGTGGAACTGACACCACAACTCACTGGGAACACCACAGCATCTTCAGTGCCAAGCTCAAGCGAAAAATGTACTCCAGTCAAAGCCGTTTGAAACAGCCTTGAAAAGGGGGGGTACTTCAAATAACCCAAAATTCATTGGCCCTATTAAATACTAAAAAATTATTATATCTAAATTACAGTTATGTGACTTGTCATTTTTGTGTTACAGTGTTCTCCATCTAACACACACCAATGTCACCCTACTGAAGGACTAGCGCATAAACTTGTTTCTCAAGGAGTTGGACAGCTGGGAACCAACCAACCATGACCATCGGAACCTCATAACTTTAAGTTCAATCCATAGACTCCATTCACAGCCATTGTGTATGATCGTCCCACTCACTGAAGACAGTATGGGGGAGATTTACTAAAGCTGGTATGCTCAGAATCTGGTGCACCTGTGCATGGTAGCCAATCAGCATCTAACCCCGGGGTGTTGAATTAAGCTTTGGCAGTAAACCCTGGAAGCTGATTGGTTTCTATGCAGAAGTGAGTCTGATTTTGCACTCTCCAGCTTTAGTAAATAAACCCCTATATGTTAGCTGTCATTTCATGCTGGATTTTCAGCTGCTTTGCTGTAATAATACCCCTTTATTCATCAAACAGAGATCATTTGTATGCATTAGGCCCATTTCACATGGACGTTCTAATCGGGTCCAATCGTTTTTCAGGCAGACCCCATCAGAACCTCTATTCTCTTCTACGGAGCAGTCAACGGCATCCAATCCGATCCCATCCGCCAAAAAGAGACAGATGGGGATTCGTTCCCCTTCAGTCCATTGGATCAGATTGGATGGCAGTCAAGGGGAAACAGACAAGCGGTCCATTTCAATCCGACCTCCATAGAGGACAGCAGGCTGTGACTGTGTCTTTTCTGCATAAGCAGAGCAGACATAAACCTGTCATCTGCCTGCTTAGCAGACAGATCCCCCATTGAGCAAGTAGATCCACCTATGGATCTGCCTCATGTGAAAGGGGCCTTAATAATATGTGAAGGCATACCAGGGGCTTTTGTATAAACTCCCAGAAGTAATCTGCTTCAGCTTCTTTTTCAGTTTTAAATTGCACAAGTTTTTGACATGTTTACCTAAAATGAATGTCATTCGTAAAACAGCCCATACATTATGTATTTTTTCATTCAGCCAGCAGGTTGACTGAAAACAAATGTGCCAAATCCCTCCTGCTATGCTATTGTGTTCTTATTGCAGGGCCTTTACATACGTTTGGGCATCTGTTTTTAGTTTAGTTCAGTTCAGTTGACATCAGTTTGCACTTCAGTTCAGCTCAGTTCAATTTAGTTGAGTTCTGTTCTTTCCAGTTCAGCTAAGTTCAGTTCAGCTCAGTTCTGTTCAGTTCAGTTCAGCTAAGTTCAGTTCTGTTCAGTTCAGCTCAGTTCTGTGCTGTCCATTTCTGTTCAGTTCAGCGCAGTTCAGCTCGATTCAGTTCAGTTTACATCAGTGTTTGCATCCATTTTTTCAGGCCCCTTTCACATGGGCACTCCAATCGGGTCCACCTGACCGTTTTTCAGGTGGACCCGATCGGAACTTCTGTTATCCCCTATGGCAGTCTGATGGAGATGGCAGTCTGATGGAAACAGACAGGTGGTCCGTCATCCGCTTGCTCAGCGGGGATCAGCAGAGAGATCCCCCACTGAGTAAGCGGATCCTCTGATGAGTCCGTCCCATGTGAAAGGGGCCTTATGCCTTCTTCACAGGGGACGTATGAATCCGTGCTTCTTGTGAGGGCCTGAGTATGTTCGGTCCTTTTCACATGGGGTGGAATCCAATTTGCTCAGCAGGGGATCTGTCTAATGAACCCATGTTAAGCAGAGAGGGCTGATGGCAGGTCTGAGTCCACTCAGTTTATGCAGAACAGACAGGGACATAGCCTGCTTTGCGGGTGGCCAGGTGTAAACAATCCACCTAGATGGATCCCCTTCCGTTTTCATTAGTGGACTGGATCAGATTGAAAGTAGGTGGGTGTAAATGGACACAAGTCCATTTACACTCTCCGGTTCATAGAGAGACATGGACCATATGATCAAGTCCATCTGAAAAACTGACTGGCAGACCTGATTGGATCAACCTGTGGGAAAGGGACCTTCAAGATCACGTACCTGCACAGATATCACATTGGGAACAGCAGCTGTGTCAATGCAGCTGCTGTGTCCCAATTTACAGCAATGGGACTGCCTGAACGGGGATGCATGGAGAACCTGTGCATCCCTATGTGGGTAAACATGGCCCTTACATGGGGCACAAATTAATATGCCCTATGCAAACCATTCCTTTGTTGAAGAAACAAGTCATATGTGTCTAAAACAGACATAAATGCAAATGGATCTAAAT